ATTCTTCCTGGAACCCACACATCTTGTGGTTGTGCTTGGGGCCTGGGTGGGCTGAACCCAGACAGGCCGCTCCCAGCCCTTCGAGGGAGGGAGTCAGAGAGGGGGTCTGGGGGCTGGAAGCCAGAGCTGCATTTGGAAGACTGGGCCCCAGGGTGCTCTCGGAAAGCAAAGGGCTGGAAGCTTTGGCAGTGAAAGGCAGCTGGCCAGGTGGCTGGGGGGCACGGGGTCATTGCATTCCAGCCGTGGGCCTAGGAGTGGGAGACTGTTTCTGGGCTCTGACCCCAAAACTGTCGGTCCCTGTGGCAGGGCCTTAAGACAGCAATTATCTCACAGTCCCGGAGGCCAGAGCCCAGAGGCTGCAGGGAGGTCCTTCCTGCCTCCCCCAGCAATGCTGAGTTCATGGGCTTATGGCCACACTGCTCCAGGCTCTGCTCTGCCACCACATGGCCTTCTGCATTCAGGCGTTCCTTCTCGGAAGGACACTTGTCATGGTCTAGGCCCATCCACTTCAGTGGGACCACATCACATCTTCTGTCCGCAAAGACCCTTTTCCAAATGAGGCCACATTCACAGGCACCTGAGGGTAGTGGGCTTGGACACGTTGTCTTAGGGGACACGATTGACCCACAGGACTCTCCTACCCCCAGCCTTCTTTGGTGGAACATGAGTGGCTGCCCTGCCCTGGCCCCACGTTCCCACAGAGACTGATGCACACACCCAGGTCTACACTGCAAAGCAAGTGGCTTGTTGGAAGGTGTGGGTTTGGGACTTCTGGTGCTGTGGGGCTTTCCGGTGGGTCATGTACGCAACATACCACGCTATCAGGGCCCTGCCAACCACGCTGTCTCACATAGCATGGGCCGCTCCTCCTACGGTCCCTGTGCTAGATCATGCAACTATGGGCACCTACCTGGATGCACTGAAGTCCAGGTGCATTTGAGATGAGGTGGGGAGACTGCAGTCAGAGCTCGGGCCGTAACCTGGCTTGTGGTGCATGTCCCAGGCTCCTGCATGCCCATCTGGGGGGCAGTCAGCACATGGGGTCCCTTCCCCCCGCAGGGACCTCATTTTACTCACAGGACGTGGACATTTGCCTGCGCTTTGCTCTGCAGATGGCAAGCCCCAGCTAACCCAAGTGCAGGGCTGGGGCTGCAGGGCTCCCGACTTAGGCAGGATGGCGGTTCATGCCCTTGGCACCAGGGGCAATGGTGTGTGGATGTCTTTCAGCCACATGGTGGGAGGGGTGGTCATTGGCATGCACAGAGGCTGGTCTTCTCAAGGCCTGACAAGTTTTTAAGCTGTACAGAGATGGCTGCATTGCCTCCAAACCCAGCCAACCCGACAGGACTGCCAGGTGTCCTCCCCTACCAGGACTTGGGTGGGGGCTGAGCCTATGTAGGCCGGGTGCCCTCCTCCCTGGGGCTTGGGTGGGGGCTGAACTTGTGCAGTCCGCATGCCCCCTTTAAAAGCCATCTTCCCACCCAGTTGGGGGGGCATTGAAGTTCCTGCCCTCCAGGGAAGCCAGACCTGAGAGCTTGCAGACGCTTCTCACTAATCTGAGCTCCAGAGGAGAAGTGGTCACCTCTTCTCAGAAGTCCTTTTGACTCATCACAATGAACACAGCAATAGTTATGCTATGGCTAGGCAGTTTTCCAAATGAAAAGCCAGAGCAGCATTGCAAGAGCCGTGTCGTCTGGGCCGTGCACCCAGTGCCCCAGCACATCCACAGGTTGCTCTTCCAGCAAGGTGGCAACTGTGCTCACATTGGTGCACGTGTGCTCTGGCCCCCAGGTCATGCGGCTCTGGGCAGGTTGGGCTCCCTGCCACGCCTTCCCTCCCTGGGGACATGTGCTCAGCGCTCTGGTGACAGGAGCTGTCATATGCATCACCAAGATAAATCTCCCGTTTTCTTCTGCTTCCCCATCTGCTGCCATTCACTCTTGCCCTCCTGTCTAGAGACCAGAGGCCTATAGTCCCCAAGAAGACATGGGGCCTTGGGCCTGACTGGCTGTTAAACCTTCCACCCGCCCCGCCTGCTGGGAGGACTCTAGACACGTGGTTGCCATTTACTCCCAGGAACGCTGCCCGCTTGGAGGGTGGGGGCCGAGGACCAAGTATCTCCAGATTTCGTCCATGTGTTGTTGTGTTTTAGGTTTTGTTTTGCTTTCTCCCAAATCATGTTTGAGGTCTGTTCAGGCATTGGAACGCACCGCCTAGGATCTAAGTGAACATGGCCATGCGTTGCTACTGCAGGCATTCGGCAACTTTGCGTGGGCCCAGGGCATCTCGCCATCTCTAGCTCTGGCTTGTAAGTGTGGCCCGTGAGCCCTGGAGCAAGTTTGCCATCCTGAAGGGGTTTACTAGAAGGCTGTGCCTGCAGAGAGAGACCTAGGGCCTGCAGGGCATATCCATGCGGACTGTCTGTCCTGCCCTCCTGGCAGAAGACAGCTCCAAGAGGGCCGTCTCTGCATTGGCTGTGGCCTGCTGCTTCTGACCATCCTCAAAGCATTAAAGATGGCATTCACGGAACCGTGCTGCATTCCCTTCAGCAGTTGAGCAGCCACAGAATTAAGACCCACGCTCTGCCTCCTGGCCAGCTAGTGGGGGGGTGTCCAGACAAGCATCTTCCTCTGAGTGCCTGTCTCTCTCTTACCAGGAAGCCGCTCTTTGAATTAGCATCTTGATTTGAAAAGGTCACCTTGGTCAAGTGACTGTGACCTTGGCAAGTTGGATTCAAAACTAAGTGACTGATGCTGGTAAGGGGCCATGGCCTGCCCTTCACCATGCACGGTGAGGAGCAACTTGGATGTGCTGGAGCACAGTGCTCCAGGTTTTGTGTCTCAGAGCATCCTGGGTTGGACTCAGAGCTTCACACCAAAGTACTGACAAGGCCTCGGACTTCTCACATTCATTTTAGGTTCTGTGGCAGCAGGGGGAGGAGAGCGGATGTGTGTTTGGGCAGTGCCAGGCCAGACTCCTCCCAGCTGCCCACCATGCCCGCCATTGTCTTCCTTCTGTCTGAAACAGTGGGCTTTATTCTAGAGATGTGCAGAAGTCTCCTCTCAGTGAAGCTGGAAGGCAGCACACGCCTCTGCCCTGTCCACAGGCATCTCTTGCGATGCTCATGGGCCACCCGGGAAGTCCCACATTGAGTTCAGCCGGGGCTTGCTTCCAGTCGCTGACCTGGGCACCAGGATGCACTCCATTCCAGCTGGACCGCTCTGATCTCCAGAGCCTGTTTGCAGGAGCCTGAAGGTCAGGGCTCCACTCAAGACGAGACGGCAGGAAGAGGAAAAGGAGCTGAGTGGACGTCCCATGCTGTGCCCTTGATGGTTGCATCATAGCTGACTTCCACGGCAGCAGGACCCCACATGGGTCCCAGTGGGCTCTCTGTGGGGACCCTGGCATGGCCTCTGCTGTTCTGCATTTGATATTCGGCCTCCAGGGGTTTCATTCATTGCTCATTCGAGGTCAAGCGCAGGCTAACAGATGACCTCTTGGCCTCCTTCCTGCCCGAGAGGCTGCACCCTGAGGACCTTCGTTGGCACAGTGGGTAGCAGGTCCATCTTCTGGGTACCAACCTCCAGGCATGTCATGTCTTTATTTCTACTGTCTTGCCTGTGCTTTCCTACATAGGTACCCACCGTGGGTGATGTGGACATCAAGGAAGCGGTGTGCGCCAGTGCCTAGTCTCCACCACCATGGCTGCACCCGGTGTCGCTTTGGCCTGCCTGAGACCCTGAGGCCTCTGCTCCTAGAAGGAGCTTCCTACCACTTCTCCCTAAGATTCCCAGTTTTGGTTTATACCGAGCTGTGTAGTTAAAGTGAAACCACGTTGCCAGAAAAATGTAGTTTTGAGGCAGAAATACTAAAATTCTACCCCATAAATCAAGGAGGGAACTAGAAGCCTCTGTTGATGGATTCTTGAAAATCGTAATGAAAACACTGAATCATCTTGTTGTGTTCCGTTTTCTTTCTGAAGATGCCAGACGTCGTCAAAGTTGCTTGCACTTGCATGTGCGCTCGTGCCCAGCCCGTCAGGAGGAAGCCCACGGTCATTGTGGCCCTCCCGCACTCCCACTCCTGGGGGCAGGGGCGGGGACAGGGGCAGTGCCGGGGCAGTGCCGTGTCAGTGCTGGGGGTCAGGTGGTCTCACAGGTGCCGCTGCAGGGCCTGGCATGTGTGGACGTTGGGTTGTGCGCTTGCCTGGAAACTCGTTCTGTAATGTGCATGACGGGCCCTCTCCATGGATGCACACCGGACAGTAGCACATGGAGAGGCGGGTGCAGGTGACAGGTGGGAGGCTGGGCATTGCTCATCTCTCAAGGCTGTCCTCCAGCCTAAGTGGCACAGGAGACAGTGTCTCAAATTTTTTGAAACCCACCTGGGTGAAGTCTGCAAGCGTGCCTGACCCTGGCCGTCTGCAGGTGTGTGGATCGTACTTTGTCTCTGCAGTGCTGTTAGCCACAGGCGGGTCTGTGTCGAGGGGCCTCTGGGACGAGGCTGAGTCACGGGAGCTTGCAGCAGAGACCACTGCTCTTCTGAGATCACTGATGGGTCTTCTGGGTGCACAGAATACAGTCCTGCCTGTGACCTGAGGGGTGCTTCTTCTGCCCTTTTTGGGGACCAAAACCTTGAGTGAGGACCCCAGGGTCGTGTTGGGCGCCCTCAGACAGGCCCGTCCTGCCCGCCTAGCTGTCTTGACACTGGGGCCGCCTGCCTGACTGGGCGGAAAGCAGCCCTGGGCCTGTGGTGCGCAGGTGGGGGGCACTCAGGCTTCTGGACACTGTTGTGCTTTGGGGATCATGAGGACTGCACTGTGACCACACGTGTTTCTGGCCAGGCCTTCACATTAGGGGGTCGGAGATAGGTGGACCTGAGTCCTCAGTGTGGTCCTGGACTGCCTCCCAGTGCTTGTTCAGGAGATGATGTCACATTGGGATCTGGCAGAGGATGTCGGTCGTACCTGCATGGCTGACGGACCCCTTGTGTCTCCACAGGTGCTGCAGGGGGCCCAGCTAATAGCCGTGGCCTCCTCAGACGCTGCTGCGGCAGGAGTGGACGGATCGTCTCTTCAGGGCAGTGACATCCAGGTCCAGTACGTACAGCTCGCACCCGTGAGTGACCACACGGCCGGGGCGCAGGTGAGTGGCAGTCCCCTTACGTGCAGGATGCTCTGTCAGGGTCAGCAGGCCCCCTGGCCACTGATGCTTAGGCAGCTCGGGACTCTGCTCATGGCTTCCCTCGAGCAAAGGGCAAATGACCACGGGAAGTCCAGGAGAGGTCACAGACTGTCATGGAGGACCACATGTGGATAAGCGCCGGGACACGTGTGGGGAGTAACTAATCCTGGCCGGCTCTGGTCGCTTCTTTGCATGTCTGTGGCTCGCTGGAGAGCGCCGACGTCCTTAAAGGAGACTGGCAGCTTTCCCTGGATACTGCCAGGAACATCTGAAAGGGTCTTTCTAGGAAGGCACATAACCCCTGCACTTCCAGGCAATGCTTTGGGTTAGGGACAGGACACTAGTGGCATCCAGGTCACCTCCTGTGAGTCACCAGGTGGGGGATGGGCTGGGCCCAGAATGCCCAAGCAGTCCTGGGCACCAGGTCCCTGACAAGTCCTTTCCTGCATGTGCGGGTGTGAATGTCAGAAGGTAGGCTCCCAGCCCTCGGCCCCTGACCCTGGCGAGTCCCTTCCCTCAGGGCTGGACGTGTGTGTCGGAACGTGGGCTCCCAGCCCTCGGCCTCTTGGCCCTGGCATGTGTTTTCTACCCCATGCCAGGAGGGTGTAGGCTGTTCTGTGCCGCGTGAGGGGCCTGGTCGGGTAGGGTGAAGTTCTTCTCGAAAAGCCTTCTCTCTCTCTCACAGGCCGCCGAGACCCTGCAACCCACCCTGCAGCCAGAGATGCAGCTGGAGCATGGGGCCATTCAGATCCAGTGAGCGGCAGGTGACTGCGCCAGCGCAGTGGGCCCCGCTGGCCTCCGTGGCCCACACACCCAGCCCCAGGCTCCCAGCACGGGTGGCCGTGCGTGTCCTGCTGAAGTGCCGCCGAGAGCCACCTCCTGACCATGGGAAACGTGTCCTGATAAACTAAAGCCATGACCACAGCCACCGTCCCCAGCAGGCCTTTCTCTGAATTGTGCTGTGCGTCTAGTCTGCAGGACCGGGAGGCTGCAGAGAGCGTCACGCGGACGTGGGAGATCGAGAACTCTGATATTTTTCTGTTTAAACAGCTTTTTTAATTTGCTATGGTGTTTATAACAAAAAAGAAAATTGAAAAAAAACCAGGGGGTAGCAGAAGCCTTTGCTGAGTGCCCTGTCCGGCATCGCGAGGACAGGTGAGGCGGAGACAGCTGCGACTTGGGGGCGTTGCGACCTGCTTTTCTAGGGGAGATGCTCTCAGACACTGTAATTATACATTTCTAATGGAATAAATGTATTTATGACCACAGCAGCCTGAGTCTCTTTCCTCCTGAGACAGTTGCCTGAGGGCTCCCACTCCTGGCGCGGGTGTGGGAGGCATGGGGGTAGTGTGGGTTGCTGCATGAGGCCAGTCGGTGTGGCACCAAGGGGCTGTGGCCCCCTTCAGTGCTGCAGGAGCTCGAGGTGAGCCGGGTTTCAGGACTCAGTGGCTGCGTTCCCTTTGTGACCACCTCAGGAATGGGTGTTGGTGGCTGAGGGGACTTGCCCAGCACCGAAGCCACAGCCCCGGGGGCCCTAGGGAAGGGGCTTGTCCAGAGGGGCTTGCTTGTCTTCAAAATTATTTTTTAAAAGGCAAAGGAAATAGCTGCAGATAGACCTTCCGGAGGCGGCCTGAATTCCATGGGGCCAGCAGCGCAGGGCAGGGGCCTGCCTCTGCCCTCGCCTTGTGGACTATACTCGGGGCCTGGGAAGCGACCGCTGTGGGATTGCGTCTACCAACCTAGGATGTGGCTGTTCCCTGCATGTTCTGGGAAGAGTTCCCAGTCACATCGGCCCAGCTCTGCCCCGTCTACCCCGAGGTCCTGGCCTGGTGATGCGGAGGTGAAGGCAGGGTGACCATTCCCATGGGGGACAGCATGCGTGGGTCCTGGTGGGAGGCCAGCCACCCCAAAGATCGGCTTGCACAGAGCCGGGTGGCAGCCTCCAGGAATCACCTGAGCAAGGCCGTTCTTCAGAATAGAGAGTCTGGTCAGCATGTCTAAATCAGACTCCCAGAAAGAGGGACTTGAGAGAACAGAGGAAAGACCATGTTTACAGGATCCAGGAAGCAGAGCCGGTCCCAAGCAGGAGAGAGAAATGTCACTGCATGCCTAGCACGCACAGCATTAAAGATCAAGGCAGCCGAGAGGGAGGACAGACCCCACACGGGGAGGAAGGCGGTGTATGACCGCACCTGGCACAGCGCCAGGGCTGCCAGGTGGCTCAGTTGGGAATGATGGCCACAAGCTACCCGCAGACCCGGCGGTCCCACTCCAGGTCTACCCAAAAGTGTTGAAAACATGGGCTCATGCAGGCGTGCGCGTGAACATTCACAGTGGCACAGTTCACAGTGACCAAAAGGTGGAGGCAACCTGTTATCTGTCAAGCTGAGGACCAGGTAAAACACGGTCAGTCCATGGAGCAGAGATGGTCCGGACACAAAATGGAAGACGTGCCAACACTGCACCGCCGCTGTGCCACAGGCAGGACGCCACCTGCAAGAAGTGTCTAGAAGAGACACATCTGTAGAGACAAAAGGGAGCTCAGGGTGATGCAGATGTTCTGGAATTCGGTGGAGGTGATGTTTGTGCAACTTGGTAAATACACTGAAACCCACTGAATTACCTAACAGGGTGAATTTTTTTGGTATACGAGGGGGGACCCCAAAAACTCAAAATTATCTTCTGGAGAGCGGGCCCCTTGGAGTCCAGGCTTCCCCCCTAAGTGAGTGTTCTAGGAACCCATCAGCATCCATGTGCCAGCTAGCTTTGTTGTGGGAGGCTTCGGTGAATTTTTTTTTTGAGATTCTTGGAACATGTTTGCCCATTTCATGATGGGTGATATACAAGCGCACCTGCCCACACCACGCTGAGTGTTCAGCTGGTTTTGGTCAAAAACCGGCATGACACATCTCCCCCCCACTTCACTCCATCTTTCCCCGAGCAGTTTTTCTTTTGTTTCCCTGAAGAAAAAAGTCCTCAGAGGCAAACATTTTGCCAGTGTGGAAGAGGTGAAACAAAAACAGTCAAATCAAAAAGCATCAAAATGATTGAGCTCAAAAACGGGTTTAAGCCACGGACAAAGCATCTCAATGGTTGTATTGCATCAAATGGAGAGGACTTTGAAAGTGACCAGAGTTAAACATGTGAGAGTAAATTCCAGGTTTTTTCGGTCCCCTTTGTATAAATTATTAAAAATGGATGAGTGACCCTTGAAAAAGCCTTTACAAACGCAAATTGAGGCTGCCCCTGGCGGATGACACCTCTGTTCAAGGAGATTCTCGGGAACTTTCAAGAGCAGGTATATGAACCCAGAAGGAGCCTATTAGAGCAAGAAGGAACAAATAGCAGAATAAGCATAGATACGTTGTTTCATTGGAAAATTTAAAAGAAATATTGGAAAACATTACTATGTAGCAAGACAGGTGAGAAGGGAGGTGAATTGTTTTGAAGCTGGTTTATTGCCCTGGAGAGAGAGGCTCAGGGTACAACATTAAGACTTTGAGCTCCACAACCATGCCAAGCGCTTAAGAAACCCAGAAGCGTCTAGAGAGGCTTGAGCCCGCCTACCAGATCCACACGTGAGAATGCCCATCCTCCACCTCAGGATGTTCAACATTGGCAGTGTGCCCGACCATAGAGCCAGCCTCACAGACAACCAGGGCTGGGGTCGTGCCCGTGTGTTCTACAACCAGATGGGGTTAAGGTGAAGATAAATGAGAAAACAGGGAAGATCCCTGAATGTTTGGAAACTGAGTCATACACTTAACACATTCGTGACCAGCAGGTGTTTCGTTTTCCTGGTACTGAGAGTGGGTGAAAATAAGGTCTGAGGCTGGTTGCCACAAACTTCTGTCGTTAAACACAAGTGAAATGGTCTTTTCTAACTTGTCCCCTTTTCACGATGCAGCCGAAAGTTGCGGACATAGCCAGGATTTGCCACTCTGACGAGCAGTCCATACTTTGTATTTTTATTAGGGTTATAAACCAAATGTATATTATTCAGAAACAGAATTTGCAAAGACAAAATTTCACATCAGCGATTGTGAATAAGTGAATAGGTCAAAGAAGTCCCATAGGTCAAATGAGAAATAAAAGCGGACACGTGAATATCCTTTTTTTTTTTTCTTGCATCAGGGTCTCACTCTGTCACCCAGGCGGGAATACAGTGACATGATCATGGCTCACCACAGCCTTGACCTCCTAGACTCAAACAATCCTTCCACCTCAGCCTCTTGAGTAGCTGGGACTTACAAGTGCATACCACCATGCATGGCTAATTTTTGTTTTGTTTTTCATAGAGATGGGATCTCACTGTGTTGCCCAGGCTGGTCTTAAACTTCCGGGCTCAAGCAATCCTCCTGCCTTGGCCTCCCAAAGTGTTGGGATTACAGGCACGAGCCACCACACTCAGATGGAATTTTTAATTGAATGACATAGATGACAAATTGTATCAAAACTTGTGAAATACATCAAAAATTGGGCTTAGAGAAAAATATAAAATGACAAGTGGAAATTACAGAAGTGAGGGGGGAAATGCAGAGTAGATACAGTCGGCAAACCCCAAGCCGACTCTTTGGAAAGACGAACGCGGCTGGTGAACCCCTGGTCGAACGAGCCGAGAGAGAGCAGGCGCTCGCGGCCAGTTCAGACTCGTGCCAGCCCCGGACACGGGAACCTGCGGCTGTTCCGAAAACCTCAGTCCATCCGGAAAGTTGGGCGAGACGGGTGAGTGACTAGCAAGACGCCACGGCCGAGACGGTGACACGAAGAAGCAGAGCCTCCTAACGCTCCCATCTCATGAAATGTTATCTGCGTCTCGTCACAAGGGAGACTCCGGGCCCAAGTGTTTCCAAACGTTTAGGAAAGAACGGCAGTGTTTATGAACCTTCCCGGGGAAGGACAATGACAGAAAAGGGGAGGGGAGGAAAGGGAGAGAGAGAAGGAGCGGGAGGGGAGAGAAGGAGGAAGAGAGCGGGGGAGACGCTCATCCTTATAGCCTGTCCCTGACGCAGATCCAGAATCTAGAAAGAATCCCGTGAGGTCATGAGAAAGACGGCCGGCTTCACTGTCAAGACGGACCAAGTGGGGGGGCGGTGCCGGCTAGGAAGCCAGACACTAGGGCCTTGGGATCATTCCCAGAAGCCAGTGTCTA